ATTCCATTTTGCTAGTGTTAAAAATGTAAGAGCACCTTATGCTTTTTTCCTATGATTTTTACATTATCAATGGTTTCCAAATTATATAAATTTGCACTAACATGTTAATTTTATGATGCCTTAAGAATTAATTATACATGAATGTATAGACGTAAAGTACATATCAGATGTAAGAAATGCTAACAGAATAAAAAAGAAGTTGCTACAGATAAAAGAATGTATATTGATTCAATAATCATCGTTTCACATATTACAATATGTTTACTTCACAGTGCTTGAAATGTGAACGTATGAACACACAATAGCCTCTTACCCACTGTGTGAGAAGTTATGTAAATAGACACTGAGTATCAGAACTTAAATGGAAAGAAGCTGCAGCTTGACCCAGAATCCCTGCTGGTCTTCTTCCCAGATCCCAGGGCTACTTCAGGAGTAGGCCATGACACTTAAGATGAATATGTAACTAGCTCAAGGTTGGTGTATCAGTGCCAGGCCACAAACACTGTAAGTTTTGTGACTTTGTTCAGCACTATTCCAACATCCTGTGATGTCCTATCATGGGACTTGTGACTTCACTGTTGTTTTTCTTTGGAAAACAGCAGGGTATCTGAATGGCTCCAGTACAGAATTCATCCAGTTCATCTACAGCTGTCACTCAAAATGCCTTTGCTGTCTTATATTGCCATATATATATAGTCACTAGTAATCAAGAAAATTAGACTTGAGTTCCACAGGGCCAGGATCTTTGCCTGCTAAGGTTATTAATTTATCCCTAATGTCTGGAACAGTACCTGAAATAATTTAAGTTCACAAAGAATAATACCCAGCCCTGCAAAGCTCCCAAGAGAGCCAGATTCTTATTTGAAGTAAATGGGTGACCCCACTATAGAAATGGTTTTCTTTTGGTAGGGGGAAAGTTTCCTAGCATTCCCAGGTAAAATATACTTTCCTGATAAAACAATGTTTTAAAATTGTTCTGAGTCTCTAATACTTGTAAATTAAATAAAGAGTCAGCTAACATCAATATCATTCGATGGCTCTATCACAATGACTGAGAAATTACCATGTGGAATAGAAGACCTCCATAATTTGGAAATTGACCAGACCACATTCTCCCAACTGTCACTCGATCATCACAACCAAAGGAAAATGGTGTGACTAAACAGTCCAAATAGAGTGGCCCATCTGATTACTTCAACAGCTTGTTTGAGCCGTTTTGAAACTCTGCCACCTTTCTCTGAAAAGCAGAAGCCAACTATGAGAAACAGAAAACCTATACAAACTGCTTAAACATTCTAGGGTTCTGAACTTTGTTTCTAACTTTCAAAGACAAGAAATATTTTAAGAAAAACACAGGAATGTAAAAATAACCACAATGCTGATATTATCTCCTGTTTGTATTCTGGCAGTCGTACACTGATCCCTGTAAACACGCCCATTAGCCAGGCCTTCACAGCTCAAGTTAAATCACAGTTAACGCTTTTCCCAGAGAAATGCAAGCAAAAGAAAATATTCTGTTCTAAGTTATCCAGGCAAATTGCTTGTTAAGTTGTATTTTACAAAAATATCCCCCATATTGGTGGTTTTATGATATATACTATGTAAGACAGAAATAGCTATCCTTGAAATGGAAAAATTATCCCCATTTTAATAATTTAATTTTACACATCCAAAATGATTCACATGTTATTGAAATTTAAAAATCTGAAAAGAACTTTGATTCATAAAAGATTAATAATCAACAAGTTGATCACTCACTTATTGAATGCTTATACCATGTCACAGCTCAAATGCAAATAAGTTCCTACTTTATATTGATATAAATATTTTATATTTGGATTTACCTTTTGTAAAAAATTGCACTTGTGTGTGTAAGAGGTGGTAACTTTTCTCATGTTTAAGTACAACAGTTGTAATTCTGGAAGGAAAAAGTCCAACCATAGCTCATAATATATGTAGGGTTGCCTGATATATGGGTTTTTTTTTTTAAAAAAAGGACATTTAAAATATGAAACTGTTTTGGCTAGTTGCTTTTCATTTTAACAATACTTTAAATTCAAATAGGTGGGATTAGTTGATTAAGAATGCAATTAATATTTTTAAAATGCCTTTATATCTCTTTATAAAAAATAAAAATTCTTTAAAAAGTATCAATAGTCTCTTTTCAATCTTTATGAATAGCAACTCTATTTCCCCCTCTCCATTTCATTAACTAAGATTGACCCCCAAAATAATTCTGCTGTCATCAAATCTTTCCTTTTTGTCATTTTCCTATTGGGTAAATATAGGAGGAAAATAAATTGCATGACACAGGACAGTAATACCCTTTAATTAGTCTTCAATTATTTGCCTTGAGTCTTCTCAGCAGTTAGGAGGCCAAAGCAACCTGCTGCCAAGCAAGATCCAACAGACACAAGAAAAGGTAATTATATTGAAATATCAAGAGAGAGAATGATTACTTTGCACACCAGTTAGTGATAACAATACCAAAGTTACTTTAGAAGTACATTTTCTTTTTCTGAGCTTTAAATTGTTAAGCTTGAATACATACTGACATCATCTTGAGATTAGTTTCTAACCTAATCTTAGATTTTGTATGGTTTTATGATCTAATTTATTTTTTATTTTACTTTGGGTTAAAGTCAAAGTTTGATACTGGCTAAACTACTGAAGATGATGAAAATTTTAAAGAAAAAAGGTGTTCAAGATAATGAACCTATCTCTACAGACAGAGGACTAACTTGTCATGAAGATGGGTGTATTATCCCATAATAATCCATGGGGATCCCTTAATTAATTTCAATTTTTATTTCTATCCAAATGTCATAATTTTATTTGTCATAACTATTGTCTTAAAACATGCCTTTCATATCCTCACAAAAGCTGAATAATGCTACTGTTTCACAATAAAGCAAACTTAAATACTCACAGGTTTGACTAGGTAATAACTTAAATATGATCCTCTCTCTCTGATTTCTGTTTATGCTAAAAAGGGAGGAATTACTATCATTTTACAGAATGTTTGCATATGTCATATAATTTTGTATGAATTGAAAAGATATCTTTGATTCATCACAGAAAATGTTATAATTTAGTCTATAATCTTAAATAGCTGTTTTTCCCTTGCTCTTTTTTGCAATACATTGACTTTTTTAAAGTTCAAGTTCTATGCTTCCTGAAAGATGAAAAGTCTTTACAGTTTAGTGTTGCCTCGCAGAATAAATGACAAGTTTGGCTTTGAAAAATAATTAGATTTTATAAAAGTAACAAATAAAAAAGAACAAACATAAAAAAAGGTAGCTGGAGATTGTAATAAAATATTGCTATCTATATCTACTATTCTCTATTAAAATCATCAAACTTGCTAAGGTATTAGATCTTAATTATTCAAACCATAAAAATTATAATTATGTGATGTGATAAGGGTGCTAATTACCACTATGACAATCATATATCAATGAACACATTATACATCTTAAATTTACACAGTGTTATATGTCAAATATATTTTAATTGAAAAAAAAAAGTTAACTGGCAAGTGAGGAATTAATAAGAAATTCTATCCTTCTCAGTGAAACTCGAGTGTGATATAGATTGTTCAAATTTAATTTCACGTGAGTTCTTTTCCATTCAGTGATATCTTATCAGCAGTTCTGAAGTCAGTTGAGTAGACAGCCTTTCTCGTCACTATTACCTGAGAATCTGAGACAAGAGTGGACTGATGTGTTCCTCTGTGACCCTCCTTTGTAAAACTCCATTCATACAACTCAAGTCTGTACAAGTACAGCATATCGATAGCTGTAAAACGTATAGTTAAATATGGTTAGTATTTACTTCACAAATACAATATGCACTTAAATACTAAAAGTTTGAGGTGCTACATGTATCTCTCTGAAGATGATTTATTAAAAAAGGATCATATAAGCAGATGTGACAACCCAATACTTGATTAGAAAGGTAAGACTAATTTATTTCTTTCAATATTTCAGTCAAATCCACAATTGTCAAATCTATAGTTATCACTAAAACAATAACGTTAATCATATTATTTATGAATAATGGAAAAGCAAATTATTAAAAAAACTTTTTCACAATATCCTCCCTCCCCTTCATCTTAAATATTCCTGTTTTATCAATCATGAAATTACAAAATTTTAGAAATCACTTAAACTTCATTTTATAAGCAACAAAGGTAAGGCTCAGACAAGGAAAATTACTTGCCAAAGTTATACAAGTAGAGATAGAGACTCAGATAGGACTCAGTCCTCTAAAAGAATGTATAGTCACATCATTCTCGAATTCAAAACCATTCAACTGGTTTGGGTTGTTTATAGAGCCATGCCTAACTCTTTAACCTGGAAAATAAGGCCTATCACTTTTCTGCCCTAAACTTGCTTCCTAACTTTATCTTGCTCTTCTTATAAAACACTTTATTTGCAATGTGCATGGATATTCCCAAGGTTTTTTCTTCTGCCTGAAAAATTTCTCTCCCTATTATATTAATATCTGCATGGGCAAGTCCCACCTATATACTATCGCCTACACAAGGAATTTTTTCCTTTCTCAGTGGAAAACTTACCTGCAGAAAACCACTTTTGTGGCATTTTTACTTGCTCACTTCTCACAGTAATTTGTCGATAGTGCAGTTCTCCTCCTAAAATTGGTGCTACCTGTTGACAAGACCAAATCAGCCTGCTAAACTCACCTCTTGACACACTGCCTTTTTCCTAGCAGGTTCTTGGTGCACAGTAAGTAAATAAATAGATAATTAACCTTGTAATGACACTTTCAGCATTATAGTCAAAAGTTAAAATCATAAATTTTATACTCCAAGTTTAGTTCTAGAGGTTTTGACAAAATACATTTCCATATTGGCTAAATCTACCCATCAATCTGTTTTTATTTCCTTAAAAAAGAAAGCGTGTTCCAAATCACTCCTAAATTATTAATAGCAGATCCTTTTAATTTAATACTTTTAATTTCTATTCTTAGGTGCAATTATGAAGAGTTTTTTTCTAGTTGTGAATATGCTGGCATTAACCCTGCCATTTTTGGTGAGTTAATTTCATCTAATGAATTTATTTAATGGTTCTAATTATGTAAATTTCTCAATACAGTTATACTTTATAGAATTAAATAACTGCAAGATATAGTTCTTAAAAGTAATTTATATTTATTTCTATTATAAAATTAAAGTCATGTATTTCTGAATATCTTTTTAGTTCCCAGGAATTAAGAAACCACCCCTCATCATGTATAGAAATCTTTAAAATCCTGATGTTATAGAGAAAATACGTTCTAAAGGGAAAAACAATACTGAAAAAATTTTAATTATAAATTACTTTAAAAATAATTTATTAAGAAGAATACAGACATCACAGTCCAAAATCACAAATTTTAAAATTAAATTCCTATCTCACACAGACTCCAATCTCTTCAGGCACTAAATCCTTAAAAGATTAAAAGCTAATTCAAGTTTTCCCACCAGTTTCAAAGACCTTGACACATTTACCTTTAACATTCAAACTTTATGAAAACTTTTGTTATACTCTTCCCTTTATGTCAACTGACTGATTTCTTCCCAGGGACCATATACATAAACAACATTGTGGTTTTCATTTTCTTCATTAGGTGTTGTGTATTAAAACTATAAGACCAAGAGAAAGTTTTAATTTTTTGACTAACTTCTATTGTTGTTTTGACTATTGCTCTGCTTTGTTTTCATGTTCATTTGGGCCATACAGGCAGTTATTTGCCAACAGCAAGGATAGACAATCATGGAATGATGTGATATGGCCACCTTTCAGATCATAGAATTTGGGAGGGCACTAGTCCTTGTTTCATCATTCATTTGTTATTAAATTTACATTTGCCACTAAGTTCATATCTCCTAAACTATTCTATGAGATAAATTCTGGAGCCAAATGCTTTAAATATTTGAATTATTATGACTCTTATTTATTTTCATTCACTTATTCCTTGAAATTTCATTTTATTGTGGACACTTGCACATTTTGAACTTTGCTTTTATTTTTAAGTGACAGAAATTAAAGGGAAATTAGGAAACTATCTACAACTGCCTGCCCAGTAGCAACCTCTTGCTGAGCTACTAGACCCTGCTCTAACCCTGGACACTCCCATTTTCACAAAATTTTCAAGTCCTATGGATTTTAACAAATAATTCAAAAGAAGAATAAACAATGTATAAATTTTATCATTCAATCTTATGAGCAGTCAAGATTATACAAATTAAAAGAGCAATGTGATAGCATCTTTTATGTGCTCGTGTATTCCTTCTCTCCAAAATAAAAATAGTTCAAATAATATTTATATTAACAATTATGTGAACTGCATAATTTCATATCCTATTGGTGGCATTATAAGTTGTCACATTTCTGTTCAACAATTTTATAATTCCTATTATGAATTTTTGTTCCCAACACCCCACCCAAAAGCTATATTTTTGAAAAGCTATCTTAACAAATTAATAAAAAGTATTTTAAAAAGACCACTAGTACACAAATGTTACCTCCCTATTTATAATAAAACATTTATTGAAAGACTAATGATGATGAGTAAAAGATAAACATTTTGTGACATAATCATTGATCATTTATTTTTCAACCATAAACATAGAAGTATGAAAACTAGGAGAAATATGGAAAACTATTATGAAATTATACTTCAAAAAAGATACAGTATATTAAATAAATACACATAAGAAATGCATGATATAGATTGATAGTATATTAAGATGTTCAGATGATCAGAACTTCTAAGTGTAGAGGATTCTATAATATTTGTTTTACTATTTAAACTTTAAATTAGTAATTTTATGCATTTAGAAGAAAACAAGTCTCTCTCTCAATATAATCTGAATTTTCTTATTTTTATCAAATTTTGAATTTTCTATACCTACCACTTTCAAAAGGTTTATAGAATCTTTTTTTAATCCAAGGGATATGTGTGGCAAGTTCTAAACTAAAACTGTCATTTCAAAACATTTATATTATGACTTCGTCTCAAAAATTTATAAAACCTTTGTGAGTTTTTAAAACTGTATAAGTACTCATATAAGCATCTGTGGAAATCATTTTCTCACTCTTGGTTTTCCATGTACATTGCAAACCAGATTAAGAAAAGTACTATAAAAATGAATAAAATGATTTTAAAAACACTAGTATGTGTATAACATTTATACAGTGATGTTATGCTAGGGACAATTATTTTAAATCTACATAAATCTCATAAATCATCTTAGAATAGAAAAAGAAAAATTGTTCAATGTTCCTTTTATTTTTAAAAAATACATTTAATACAAACTGAGTACAAAAGGAGACCCAAAATACTGGAATTATCTTCAGGAGGGTGGACCCCTTGTAGTACAGGCTTCCACCACTAGGTGAGTGTTCCAGAAACCCATCGGTATCAGTGAACTAGCTGGCATTGTTGTGAGATGCTGCATTCAGCTTCAGTGAATTTTTTCTGAAGACTCTTTCAACACATTTGCCCATTTCGTGATGGGTAATTTATGAGCATACCTACTGACACCATGCTGAGTGTTCAGCAGTTTTTGACCAAAACTGGCATGACCACCTTGCCCCATCCTTTCTCTTCACCCAATCTTGCACTCAATGTTTCTCTAAATAAAGAAAGTCCTACCCTGGCTGGCATAGCTCAGTGGATTGAGTGCAGGCTGTGAACCAAAGTGTAGCAGGCTCGATTCCCAGTAAGGGTACATGCCTGGGTTGCAGGCCATGACCCCCAGCAACCACACATTGATGTTTCTCTCTTTCTCTCTATCTCCCTCCCTTCCCTCTCTAAAAATAAATAGATAAAATCTTTAAAGATTTTATTTATTAGGACTTTATAAAGAAAGTCCTTGAAGTGAAATGTTTTACCAATGTGAAATTGGTGAAACAAAAAATGGCAGAAACAGTAAAAAGCATCAAAATTGACAAGTTCAAAACTGTTTGGGGCAGTGGAAAAAAATGTCTCCATAGATATTGCATCAAATGGAGAGCATTTCGAAGGTGACTGAAGTTTAAACATGTAAGAATAAATACAAAATTTTTATGAAAAAATTCTGATTTTATGAGGTTCCCCCTTGTATGTTTTTCATATTTTTCATTTAAACAAGTATCAAGTAAATTTGTTGGCACAAAAGTCAGATCATCATTTTCAACCTTGAATATTTCTCCATAGGCAATGATTTTTTAAGATAATTTAACCATGAGGCTCTTTATTACTATTTTAATTAGTAAATTGCTATCACTTTTTGAGTGACTCACAGACTTTATAGATTAAATAACCATAAAAATTTTTTACAATATTTCACAATACCATAATTAAAAGGAAACATGTTTTGTCTTTATTATAAAAGTTTTTAAAAGCACAAAAAATAATCTAGACCCTGCCTTACTTTTTAAAAATCTTCTCATTTCTTTTTATTTCTTTGAACCTCACCAGTGTGCAGAGGTGCAAAACCAGGAACAACTAACAGTAAGTTTACTTTAATATTTCTGGTAGAGACATGAACTTCCAAGTATAACTCTGCCAAGTTCAATAATATTAAAATGCCTCTGTCTAAAAACTAAATAAATATTTAAACTCCATAAGTAATCTAGTAACTACTATAAAAAAAAACTCCAGCAAACCGTGATATGAATCAACCTCAATTTTCACCTGAAAATCTTAATTTTGTTTTATAGCCTAAGTCATATGGTTTTCATTTTCAGGTATACTGAGCAACATGAGAAAACTGTCTCAAAATTTAGTATTGAGAAAAAATGAAAACAAATGCAGAATTTAATGTCTCTCCAGCCTATTTTTTTAAGACTTTGGGAAATATTCTGCTCTGAGCACATTTGAGTATTTTCCTGTACTTGTATCTACTTCTTCCTTTTTTTCCCAAATATGATTAAATGGATATATTTAAATGTTTCTCTTTATGAGAAATGCCTGCTTGCAATGTAATTTTGTTCATTTGTTTCCATTTATATGGAAAAATCTAGACATATTTGGTAACTACACATAATCAGTAGAACAGAGACCAATACAACAGAAAATTCCCTAAATGATGTTTAATGAAGAAAAGTAAACTGAAAATATTTAAACTATAGTTCCAGGAATTCTCCCACATCATATTTTACTATCCTGCTATAATTCATTTAGAAAAAAACAAATGTCCCCTCAGCCTAATCTCTAGAATAAATAAAATTCTAAACAATTATGAATATGTGGTGAGGTTATATATATATACATACATACATCTATATAAAAATCTTGATTTTTCTCTGTGTGCTGTTACATTTGTGTATAGTTTGTCAAAACTGTCTGAGATTTTTATAGCTACTGTACTTATCATAATGCTTGACATTTACTGAGCACCTTTCCTATAGGCCAAGCTCTTGCCAGTCTGGTTTACATTATGGATTAACTCATCTAATTTGTCTGAAACTAATGTTATTTTTAATCTTTGTTGAAAATTAAGTGGAAGGAATGTGTACAAGTCATGTCTCACAAAATAATATGGTTGCTGGGTTCACTACTTTTAATATTGTACTTAATGTTAAATACTACAACACTATTTCAAAAAAATCTAATTTAAGATATCACTACATTCTACTGTATAATAATACAATTCTGCTTAATTTATTCTTTGCAGTGTCATGAGAATGATAAAAGACTGGTCAATCAAAAGACAGTCAAATATATTCCAATTCATTATGTTCTGAAGAGCTATCCTCACTCTGAACTCAATTACTACCAATATAGACCAGCTATATCAATTAATAGCCAATATGTGCCTCACCCATACTATGCAAAACAAGTGTCAGTTAGACCATGTGCCCAAATTCCTCAATGGCAAGTTCTGCCAATTATCTACCCACTCACTAGAGTAAGTCACCCATACCTATATCCACGATTTATTGTCGTTCCCCCAAAGAAAATTCAGGATAAAACAGTCATCCCTACCATCAACACCATTGCTGCTGTTGAACCTACATCTACTCCTACCATTCAACCAACAATTGTAGTTATTCAAGAAGCTTCCTCAGAATTCATCACAAGCACACCTGAGGCCACCACAGTCACATTTACTTCACCCGTGGTTTAAAAACTCTATGGAAGCATCAAAGAAGACAATACAGGTAAATGAGCAAAAGAAAAAATGAAGACAAGATTTATGGATTTATCAATACAATTATAAACTCTAAATAGTATAAATGGATAAATTAAGTCTGTTATGAGGACAGGAAAAATGAGTTGATTGTAATTTTAATTTGATGGTGTCATAGGATTGGTACATTAGATTCCATTCCAACAAAAAGTGAAAAATAATCTTTTAGGAAATGAAGAAAACTTGGAGATTTTACGATCAAACTTTTTTTGACAGTTGGAACACTCCCAGATCTATTAGTTTCATTTTATTAGTATTCACACATAATAGAGTAAAATATAATGTTGAACTCATGATTTTTCTTATTTCAAAAATAAATTTTCTTTGAGTTTAAATACATATTAATCATTTAACAGTATTCTTGCACTCTAATTTTTGTATGAATAAAGTGAAAAGAAGTATGTTTCCCATACATACCTTTATATCAGACATCATTTGTGAAAGAATCCATGCCATTAAGTACCACAGATGTCTTTTATTTTAAGATAAATCTATGGAAAAAATCTAATTCTTAGCTTGAAAAGCATATACACATTAAAAGAATACTTTCAGAACCTTAAATGTGATGAAAAATGTTTCCATTTATTACCTGAGACCATGAATAATGGCAGAGTCTAAAATAATTTGAAACTTATGGGAAGAAGTTAAAATAAAGAGAAAGATTAATGAAGTTGAAAAAGATCAAAGAGAATAAAATAATATGGGGAGAAAGTCAGAAAATTCTGAGTCTTTACAATAAATATTTTCAGTGCATTATACTATGTCTACATGCTTTGTAATCTAAAATACAACACTGTTATGTGACATAATGGTAATAGAGTTAGATAGAGAAGATATTTCTTCCACTGTGTGACCTTAGGCAAGTCATTAGTCTCTCTAAAATTTCATTTTCTCAGAATTTTGGTTACTATGAGATGCCAATGAGACTGCATATTGTAAAAGAATTGTAAAAATCGATCAACCTGTAAAATGTAATGCATTAGAAAAGAAAAAGTAAAAGTAATAAATATTAAGATTTCCTTATAGCCAATACCTCACATCCTTATTGAGTTTACATAGTAAGGCCTAATTACTATGCACCTATTTCCATGCACTGTCTAATTTGAAAAAAAACAGCAACAAAAACATTTATTTACTCAAATCAGCATATATATAAATTGTATTATCTAACTGATATTTAATAGAACATGTAGTAGGAAAAAAGGTAACAATAAATTTTTTATGTAAAATTTAGAAAACAAAATTAGAAAACAAACAGAAATAATATGAAAGCAAGTAATTTAGTATGTAGTTACATATTTTATTAATCTAAAGTATATTATTTTATGATTATGATTTTAATGGTATAATCATGATTTCTATAGTTGTATTTGTTCAAAACCCACAAATCTAAATTTCTAAGTTAAAACCATTCCAAAATGTCACTTATAAATAAACATGTAAAGGACAGTATCTTTATGTAAATATTAGGTGAAAATTATTTTCAATTCACTATATGCAAGTTTAAATATTTAAGTTTAAATATTTAATTTTATAAACTCCTTGTATACTAACTCCTTATATATAAAAAGACAAGTCATGAAAGCTAAATAAAATCCACATATCCTAAAAACTATTAACAGATAATGAACTGTCATTATTTTTTGTAGATCTTGCTGAAACCAAATCAAGCTCTCCTTTGGCCACTTGTCTATCTTCAGTCAAAAGAGAAATGTGATTTTCACAGATTCAGCTCTGTCTCCTCCCCTTATATTGTACTTTCATGCAACATTTAATTTTTTTGTTTTTATACAATAAAGCCAATTGAATGCAACTGTACCTCCTAACTTGAGAAGAGTCTGTGGATATGCCTTAGGGATCTTTAAAACCTTAAAATTCCGAAGCAAATTTAATGTGAGTTTGAGTACCCAAGTTTAACTGGGGGCAAAGTTCATAATTTCATCTGATTCTCCAGGTGCTCCACGGTCTAACACTGATCAAGAATGTCTTCTCCAGGATAACACTGGAACACCTAAATTTGCAGCCTAGTCATTGGGCCCAGAGAACTAAGCCATGGTGTTTCAATCCAGATGACCCAAAAGTGGCTCTTTGGAATCATAGGACCCATAGAGTTAGCATTAAATTTATGTGCGCAAATGTATTGCTAACTTACAGTCATCCCCAACAGCAAATTCTGGGCATAGACAGGCTACAGATAACCACAACTACAAAAAGACTCATGACGACAATCAAGGAGTTGAGTGAAGCTCTTGACCTGCATGACCAGTTTCCTCCAGAATCAAAGCTACAGTCTTACATCTGTTCAAACATACACACACACACACAACCATGAAGCCTCAGAGACTGAGGTTCTCCCAGTTTACAAAAATTGATGAATACTCAATGTACAAAAATATGACAATTTTTTCCTTAGTCAAATATTGTGAGGAAAATGAATGGGTCATTAATGTGCTTACTCCATATTTAACACACTGTGCCAGGAAAAGTATAAATCACTCAACCCTTACAAAGTGCTTAGTAGTCACCCATAAAATCTTTTGCTGAAATCCTCAATAGATGTGATATTATTAGGAGTGATTTACAAGTTTTCATTTTCTCTTTCACTCAAATGCTAGAGTCTGGAAGAAAGGCATGTTCAGGAATATGACATAAACTAAGTTTCAAGTGCTATGACCATTAATTTTGTGAAAAAAATTGTAAATTGTGAAAGAGATTGAATTTAAATTATTTTTTATTGGTGTTCAGTTACACTTGTTCCACCTTTTTCACCATTTTTCACCCCTACCCCGCTCCCCCTACTCCCACAGTCAGTCCCATCCATTGTCTGTGCTCGTGAGTCCTCTAGTAGTGTTCCTTTGCTTATCCTTTCCCCTTCTTTCCCCCATTAATTAAAAAAAAAAAAATCACTCTAGCTGGATAGCTTAGTTGGCTGGAACATCATTCTGTACACAAAGTTTGCACATTGGATTCCGGTCAAGACGCGTACCTAGACTTCAGGTCTGATCCCCGGTTAAACAGAGTGTTCACAAGGCAACTAACTGATCGATATTTCTTTCTCACATACGTCTCCCTCTCTCTCTCCCCTGCTCTTTCTCTCTCCTTTCCTCTCTCTCTAAAATCAATAAACATATCCTCTGGTGAGAATTAAAATAAAATAAATGTAGTAGCTTGAAAAAAGTTAGCAATAGTTCTAAGCTTGTAAGCCAAAAGAAAATGGGCCCATCAGTCCTACAACCACAAGGAACTAAATTTTGCCAACAACCCAAATGACCAAGAAACAAAGGTTCCCCCAGAGACTTCAAAAAAGAAATAAAGTCTACTTACACCTTGGTTAATGTTTTGTGAAATTCATCTCAGATTTCTGACTTTAAGAACAGTAATATAATAAATTTGTGTTTTTAAGTCACTAAATGTATGGAAATTTGTTATGGCAGAATAACAAACTAATACAATAAACTTTTATAGTTTTCAGTACAGAACTTGAACATATCATTAAATTTAATAAGTATTTTATGTTATTATAAATTATAATTATTTTAAAATTTTATAGTCTTTGTTGTTAATATATAGAAATATAATTGGTTTAATTAACTGATTATATAATGATATTGCTATATTCTCTTAGTAATTGTGATCATTTTCCTGTATATTTGTCTAAATTTTTTACAGGTAACACACATCTAGAAATCATGAGAATTCCCTTTCTTTCTTTCCAGTCTTTTATTTACTTTCCTTGCTAGGATCTCCAGTATAATATTGTATAGAACAAGTGATCAGGCATCTATCATTTTGTAGCAACAGAAAAATAATACTTGTTCTTATTATATTCAGCTAATCATTGAGCACTAGAATGGAACGAAGGGAGATATTCACTTTCTGACTATATAACCAGTTTCAGGATAAAAGAAGAATGGATATATGGGTGAATAGCTAGGTGTCAAAGGCAAAATAAGAAAAGAGTATGGACTGGAAAAAGGTTAATATAAAATCAATGGCAGCTATACAAGTCTTCTCTCAAGGGAAATATAAGCATGTAGGAATTGACACAGAAAATAAACTATAAATTTCCCTTAAAAGAGATTTTAAATAGATCTATATACTATTATAAAGTCATTTTACATAATAAAGTCAGAAATTTTGGAAAAAATAATAAATTTTTCATTTTACTACAAGCAAATTTTATTTTACTGTACGTATAATTACTTCAACACTGTTAAAGAGCCCAAATAGTTCAATAAATCAATAACTGAAATATTGTGTTGGTAATTAAGAAAGCACCATATTGAATGATAAAGTACACATGTTTGAATTCTGATTTGTTTATCCATTCAACAAACCAATTTACTAGCTTAAATTATAAGCTGTTGAGGGAAATCATATTTCATTATTCTTGAAAATGGTGAGTTAAAGATGATGCCTGTGAGCAAAGAAAAATGAGCATTATCAGAAAATTGAAAACACAAAAGATAAAAAACATTTCACAGTGAAATTATCATCACCAAAATGTCCATACTACCCAAGGCAATTTATAGATTCAATGCAATCCTTATTAAAATACCAATGACATATTTCACAGATATAAAACAAACATTTCAAAAATTTACATGGAACCATAAATGACCCCAAATAACCACAGCAATTTTGAGAAAGAAGAACAAAGTAAGAGGAATCACAATACCTGATATAAAATTATATTACAAGGCAACTGTAATCAAAACAGCCTGGTACTGGCATAAGAACAGATACATAGACCAATGTAATAAAATAGAGAACCCAGAAATAAACCCTTGGCTTCATAGTCAATTGGTATTCCACAAAGGGGGCAAAAGCACAAAATGAGGTAAATATAGCTTCTTCCACAAATGATGTTGGGAGATCTGGACAGCTACATGCAAAAAAACAAAACTCGATCACCAATTTACACCATGCACAAAAAT